AGGGAGGGAGGGAGGGAGGGAGGGAGGAAAATGCATGCTTCCAAAAAAACTGTATTGCTGCTCCCCATTTTAGCCACTTTTATTTTATTAAGGTCTCATTGATATACAATCTTATGAAGGTTTCACATGACCAACATTGTGGTTTCAACATTCACCCATATTATCAAGTCCCCCACCCCCACCCCATTGCAGTCACTGTCCATCAGTGTAGTAAGATGATATAGAGTCATTACTTGTCTTCTCCATGTCCCTTAATCCCCTTCTCCCCACCTCCCCACCCATCCTCCGCAACCCTTTCTCTTTGGTAATCACTAGTCCCTTCTTGGAGTCTGTTAGTCCGCTGCTGTTTTGTTCCTTTAGTTTTGCTGCTTTGTTATACTACACAAATGAGTGAAATCATTTGGCACTTGTCTTTCTCCACCTGGCTTATTTCACTGAGCATAATACCCTCTAGCTCCATCCATGTTGTTGCAAATGGCAGGATTTGTTTTTTTATTATGGCTGAATAATATTCCATTGTGTACATGTACCACATCTTCTTTATCCATTCATCTGCTGATGGACACTTAGGTTGCTTCTATATGTTGGCTATTGTAAATAGTGCTGCGATCAACATAGGGGTGAATATGTCTTTGAATCTGGGATCTTGTTTTCATCAGGTAAATTTCTAGGAGTGGAATTCCTGGGTCAAATGGTATTTCTATTTTTAGTTTTTGGAGGAACCTCCATACTGCTTTCCATTTTAGCCACTTTCAAGCATACTTTATCTTTAATTCCTCACATAAGCATCAAGAGAGCTTTATTTCTAATACAGTTACTTTTCACTTAGGAAGAAGTCCTGAGGTGTCTCTGAATGTGCATCTACCTGTCTGTGTGTGTGTTTTCAAAGCTTTTTAAAGCCTCTTGACCTATATGCAATAACAACCACTTTATTTTATATATATATATATGTGTGTGTATGTATATGTAAAAAAACTTTTTTTTACTCATAGGTTGCTTGGAAGTGGTTTTGGTGAGAATGTGCCGTGCCTTCAATCCATTAAACAACACTGTTCTGTTTGAAGGAAAATATGGAGGAATGCAAATGTTCAAGGCCTTAGGTAAGCTTACCTTTGATTTACACAATTTTATTAGCTACTGTCAATTTTTCCATTCTTCAAAAAGAGTTGGACTAAGTAGGTTTCCAGTGTTTCATTTAAATCCCCAGATCCTACAGTTGTGCATCCTAAGATGAAAAGAAATGCAGGGAAGTGTGGACCCAATTTATACCAACCATGCCTCATGTGGAAATCACTGAAGACTGATTCCGAAAGAGCTGGGATGTATTATAGGTGATTCTCTGTAGGATCGTCTTTTCTTTTATCTTCTAGCTTTCTGCTTCACAAAGTATATTATATAGACCACTGGTGGCCCATGGATGACCTACCTCTGAAATGTAAATCCATAATCATTATTTAAGATACTTAGTTAAAAGAGAAGTTCCTTCACTTGTTTCTCACCCAGAGCAGTGGCTTTCTCCCTGTTAATTCAAGAAGTTCTGGAGCACAGACAGAGTACGTCCCAACCAGCCCAATCATCCCCAGACCATTGCTGTGGGAGGATATGGACAGAGTGAATCTCCGGAAGTGCTGTGTATCATTGCCATCCAGTTCTCAGTTCCCAGTGCGGAAAAGAACGTTAGTAAAGATGGGCTGAAGCCAGGAAAGGTTTAACAATGCACAGTGCCATTTGTTCCATCTCCTGCCCATGGACATCAAAGAAGGCCACTGCCCTTTCACCTTTTGTGCTGTTAGCTGATACAGTAACCAACAAATCCATCAGGGCTGGCAAGGTTTCCCTTCTGCAGTTGATACACATCCATGTCATCTCCAGGCTAGATTTTCATGAAAGGAGGAAAAGCCTTGGCAAGCAACTAAGGTATATTTCCAGCTTCATAAAATAAACATTTACCTAGGATCAGTGTAAGGATGAAAATTATTTTGCCAAAATTCACAATTGCTAAGTAACTGACCTATGAGTCATTCATTAGAAGGTAAAAATAAATGAATGCCTGTACCTCAATCAAATTATTAGGGAAGTTTCCAAATGAAAGCCACTTCATCTCTGTTTTATAAGTTTTTAACATCCCAGTTTGAGGCCCCTGGACATCCTGCATTCTCCAGGTTCAAGTACCACTAAGACTGACAGCCCTCAGCCCCTTATGCATAATGTCTTAGGTTTTCATGAATACCATCTCTATGCCAAAGGATCCCTAAAACATTTATTTCAAAATGTTTAGTTGGAATTAATTTCAAGCTTATATATATTCCCAGTTGGATATTACAATGGGCACACACCCTTTCCGTCTGCCTCTCATTGGTAATGTTAACTTTCATTATCTGGTTAAAATGTTGCCCGGTTTCCACATCCTATTATGACTACTGAGTCACTTTTTACGGTTAAGCATTTGGAAATGTTCTTTTTCTAGGTACCTAGTGTGCAAACCCTTAAATAGCTTGTTGATTATAGGATTTTCCATACTATCTCCCCATTCAAGTATTTTCATTTAATTGGCCTTCTTTTATAGGTTCTGATGACCTAGTGAATGAAGCATTTGACTTTGCAAAGAATTTGTGTTCCTTGCAGCTGACTGAGGAGGAGATTGCTTTGTTCTCATCTGCTGTTCTCATATCTCCAGGTAGGGAGGACCTTACCTTTTTTTTTTTTTAATGTTTTGCTTTCTTTAACATAGATTATGCCTCCTAAGCCAAGGCACTCAGGAGAGACTTTCAAAGAACTCTATTTTCTTTAACAAGCTTGTGATATTTTGGGACAATTCAAAGGAATACAGCCTCAAGTTAATTAAAATGACCAATTTTGCTCCTAGAACAAGAGTAGGGTGTGTGGTGAGGGTCACTCTAGATTCAGATAAGCAAAATTATTCCTTAACAAGTAAGTGAGGAAAGAAATAGTGGCCTGAGTTATAACTAAGTTGAATTTTTACTTTAAAAATAAAGGACAAAGAAAAAAAAAGAAAGTCCAGAAGTGAGATTTAGTGTAAATACATGTGAATGAAAGATCCAGCATAGGGACTAAAATAAGCAAACCGACACTTTCTCCTCTTTAAGTAGCCCTTCTGTTGGCTTTTCCACCCAAATTACTGTTGGTGTGCTGACTTCCAGCTAATGATGCTGCCCCTTTTTTTTCCCCCTTTAATCAATATCAGGTGCTTTAAAAGGAGGGAAGGAGAACCGAGGGAAAACGGCTCCTACTAAAGACAGGAAAAGGAGGAATCCCTAATGCAGCGACTTTCTAGTAAGGGTTGTCACCGTTTCTCTGTGTGACCTTAACCACTTGACCCCTCAGAGCCTCCATTTTCTCATCTATAAAGAAATGGGATTGGACTTTGTGTATCTCTAAAATGTAATAAAATACCCAAAAAATTTTCATAGAGGGTAAGGTGGGACATTTAGAGATCAAATAGAACTGCAACAATTGAAATGTTTTTTATAAGTATATACCACCTTGAAAATGGATAAAATCTGAATAAGCTCATGGCTCCTTCTTCAACCAGAATGAGAACTCAGAGTCATTCCCTCAGCTGCTGTTCAGTTAGATTTTGGGTCAAGAGATAGCAGCATCATTCATAGTTCTCTACTGAAAAACACATTCCTGCTAATTTTTACAGTTAAGAGACTCATTCCTTTTGTAATCCATTTATCTCTAGAGACTCAATCTATTTTTTTATACCCTTACATGTTTTTCAGTAAGGCTGGAAGAAATTAATCTTACATTACACATTGACATGTTATTCTGGCCTTATCTACCTATAGGCCTGACCTCTGCACTGTTTATCAGTTAGGTTTTATTTACTTACTTTAAATTTTTATGAAGATTTTTTTTATTTGTTCTGTTTTTATTTATCTGCTTTATCAAAAATGTAAATTAGTTTTCCTTTGGCATGTGTTATTAACAGTTCCTTTTGTGAGTCTATCTAACATCAAGCTGTTCCCCAAGGTCTTTTTTTTTGAACCCTAGAAAGTTTCCCAGGCATGGAAACCCAAACATAAATGGAAGAGGTGACAAGAAATATTTATTTCTGGTAGCAACCACAAGCCAGATAATATTCCTCCTACCATTTTCTCATTGCATTTGATGTTCCCATTGGGTGTAATTCCGTAGAAGACTAGTTCTAAGCCTGGGGGTCTGTGATGAGGGAGGTGCTCCAGTCTGGGTCCTGTTTGCTCAATGGAAGCATTGCAAAATTCACTATCCTCTTCAGGTGTGTTCGTGGCAAGTCAATAAATTTGTAGTAGCAAGTAGTTAAGACATGGCATCTTTTACCTAAACAGTCTGATGACTCTCCAGAAGAAAGCACGCCTATTCCTTATGAGGTAGAAATCACCTGAACTATGAGCCTTTTTGCTAGAAAGAATGTGCAATAGCCATCAAATTCTGCTGAATTTGAAAGCATGAGATTTGGCCTATTCTACATAGTGGGTATCTTCCAGCTCTGGTAGCAGACCCACACTCAGAGGCTTCTGCAACTCCAAATACCTTGTTTGCCAACCTGGCCCAGTGCCAGATTCAGAAAGAGAGGAAAAGACCAATTTCCAGCCTATGTTACTCCATCTTCTGCCAGAACCCACCCTTCCCCCAGGTTCTTGCCATAATATCCACTATCTATTCAGTTTCAGATAGTTCGGGGAAGGCGGAGGGAGGGAAACTTTATTTGTCCTGATTGACAATTGTCACTAAGGGTTTTTGTGCTCACTTACGTAAGGGTTTGCTTCACTGCTGGCTGGACTTGTCCTTGCCCTGTCTAGGATTACAGAATTGAGTTTCTTGCCTGACCTGAACTGTGTTCCGAAGGATCATGTCCAAGTTCTTTTCCATGAGTACTTGTTCAGCATTTGAAGGCTCTAGATGTCTCTTCATTGGAGCTCCAACCTAAGGCATTAATGCTGGGCTGCTTTTTGTCACCATGGTGTGTAAAGCCTCTAGGAAGAAAAGAAGGAAGGAAGGAAGGAAGGAAGGAGGCAAAGGAGGGAGAAAGGAAGGAAGGAAAGAAAGAAGAAAGGAATGTAAAATAGGAGAAAGGAAAGGAGGGCTTATCCTGTCCACCATTTAAAAATACGATATAGAGAAAGATGTAGATTAAAATTTTTGAAGTTATGCTATATGAACAATAACATAGCTTATAAAAGGGAAGGAGGAGCCAGAATACCAAAAATATTCCTATACAACACACTTTCCTAATTCTATAATTCATTTTCTTCACAAATCATTAACTTCTACTTTGAAGGAAAAGGTAAGCCTATGTCCAGAGAAAGAGAAAGAAATGTAAACTGTCACAGACAATGAGAAACATGTAGGAGTTTACTTGAACCACTGTGCCCTTACCTCCATCATGATTTCCTGACAGCGTATTGTGCATTACTGTCATCAGGGCACTGCTTATAAAAAATTTGTTTTATATAAGTAATTACATCTTTAGAAGCAAATTAAAACTAAGTAATTGAAATGGGTCCAAAACTCAGCACCTAAATATGTGAGTGAAATAAAACAAAGTTTACAGTCCCTACCATTCTTACCTAATTCTTTTCCTTTGTCAGACCGAGCCTGGCTGATAGAACCAAGGAAGGTCCAGAAGCTTCAGGAAAAAATTTACTTTGCACTTCAACATGTGATTCAGAAGAATCACCTCGATGATGAGACCTTGGCAAAGGTAAGTGCTCAGATCACAGACCTACTGTCACCAAAAGCACAGCGAGCAAAGAGGGCTAGCTACAGGGCAAAGGACATCTCTCAGTAGCAGCGATTTCTGAAAGTCACCAAAGGTGCATGAATTTTGAGGTGCCCATTTTAAAAGAGAGACAAGTAAATTACAATAGATTGAGAAGCGAATGTCTTTCTGAGGGAAAGATGATAGTAACAGATCTGAACCCCAGTTACAGAAACGCACATCAAAGGAACCAACAGTGTTTTATCTGAAGAACAAAAGCTTGAAGCAAGGAAGCAATCAAATCTTCAAAATTTATCTGTGATGAAAGAGGAGACTTTGTGCCACTTCAGGAGTCTGGACTGGGTCAACATTTGAGCAGGCAGATTTGTATTCAAAATAAAGACTGTAACATTCGTGAGCCACTGCATGACGTGGTGAGCTCCCTGTCATTGGTCACGTTGTAGAAGAGCAGGTCGCTTTCCTCTCACGTATGTCGGTAAATTGAGAGTCTCCCTGGGGTTCTTTCAAAGTGGCAAAGTATCCCAGAAGCAAAATGTACAACATACCATCAATTTCTTGATTTCAGCTTAATTATGAATAGTGATCTTTAAGACGGGTATTGAGAAAAGATGTTTACGAGAAGAAAATGCTCCTAAAAGGAAGAAGTGATTTTCTAAGGATTGGTATTCAGCACCATTTTAGATTTTAAAGTATCTTTGATTTCTCACAGACTGGGATTTTTTAGAGGGAGAGCAACTAGGAAATGGAGCTTATTCTTGATTAAAGATGATAGGGATCTTACTCTATTTTTAATCATTAAAACCCTCCCACTCTGCTCCTAAAGTTCTTTATTTTTAAAAGGGAGGAAAACTTCATTAGAGATACTATCAGATTTTATTTTGCACATAGAGAGGACTGCTATAAAAAAATCTCCACAAGTTACATATGTTGTTTCATTATGGTAACATTTTGTTAAAATTAATGCATCTCCAGGAAGAACATTTCCACACTGTAGAGTGATAGTTCTCTTTGGTGTAACTTTTCACTTTTTATGTGAGCAAGGACATAACACCTGCTTTCCACATCTCAGTTTTCTACCAGTCAAGAGCAAAACTTCTATGTGGTCTCAGACACACTGCACAGAAAAATGGCAGTGGGAATATAGGCATCTTTCTCTATGATTGCTCCATAGCATGCATGCCTAAAACACTTGGTTAATTAATGGGGGAATGTTTCCTGCACCTGGGATCTCCCAAAAACTTTGGTCCCCATATTTATCATCGAAACTAAGGTCTTGATAAAAGCCATAGTTAGACAAAAGTTGTTGCTCTCCTACTTTGGGGAGCGGGGTTCATCTGCTTATCAGAAAACCCTGGTCTTAACATCTGTAAAATGAGGATTATAATTTCTTACTCCTATTTTGAGGTCTAAATGAGATACACATTGTATAAATTCTAACACACTGTGAAATTGTGATTAGTCTCCTCAGAAAGTAAAATCGTCACACCTACACCAGTTTCTACCTCCTGGGGTCCTGGTAGGGATGATCAAACATATTTGAGGTAGAAGGGAGAGAGAGATATTGAAGAATGAAAATTATTTAACAGCAGGAAAAAATACTAAAACACTGACTATAGGTCAACTTAACTTTCTTTTCTCCATCTTCAGTGAGAAAAGTACACAATTCAGTCCTTTTCTTGCAGAGAAAGAATGTTGCCAAACTGGGACCAGAGAAGGTGTTAGAATAGGATGATTTCTCCCATAAAATTCGTTGGATCCAGATGACAAAGCACTGCTTCCACAGGTCGTGTGTGGATACTGGGTGTTTGTGTGCACCCTTCCTTGTAAGTCGTCACTTTACTAGGACGCTCTGTGAACTCACGTGGTGGGTGCATGAGACCGAAAGAAAGCTGGCTGCCCGTTTATCCCAGTTCTGAACTGTGTGGCATTGGATAAGTAACCCCATTGTGGAAGTCTCAGGTTTATCAACTGTCAAGTGCTGGGGTGTGCTGGAAGGGGAAAGTCTCTCTGGTTCCCAACTGCTTTAACACTTTAAGGACAATGGCATCATTGATGTATAGGGACACCCTCTCATCAAACCCACACTCCCCAAAAGGAATCATTTTATTTAAATTCAAGAAAAACTATTTACCCTACCACAGATTCTCCTCATCTTTTCAGAAATGCTCCTCTGCCTTCATAGTCATGGGGCTCCTCTGCCTCCACAGCCCCTCCAGAACAGTGAGGATCATTCTTAACATTTCTTACTTATAGACCTCTTGGGGAATCTGGTAAACATGATGAAACCTATCTCTAGAAAAATGTGCACATATTCAACTGTGGTATGCAAGTCCTGGCACTCAGTTTGAATCCCGGTAGGATTATCCCATTGCTTTCTATGTAATTGCAAAGACCATCTATCCTGCTGATCAGGTTAACCCCGAACAGGTGTGGCAGCCATCAGGCACGAGGTGCAGGGTTCAGACACCATCACCGGGCTTCATCCTGGGAAGATGGTCTCCAAAACGCTTCCTACAAGCCCATGTCCTGAAGTTAAGTTCAAGGATCAGTGCCTTAGACTTTTGACCAAACTTGGACCTAGGGAAGGTTTGAAAATTCAGTTTTCTATATCCATTAAGTAGAAGGTTTCAATCCTTAAGTATTGATCTATTTATTTATTTATTTGGAGGCAAAAAAAAAACATTAAAGAATCTATTCTCCTCTCAGCATAATTGTAATATGTAGCAAATTATAATAAACCATCAGAACCACTTCCTAGCTAAATGACCCTGAACAAGTGACTGAATGGCTCTGTGCCTCAGTTTCCTCATTTGTAAAATGTGACTAAAGATAGTATCTGTAATAAAGGTTATTTTGAGGACTAAATGCTATTAAATATAAGCAAGCTGCACAGTCGGTAATAGGTAGAGTATGTAAATGTTCTTGTAGTTGTGGACAGAAGGAATTTTATTTGACAGGGAAATTTTTCTCCAAGAGATGGTATGTTTAAGCTAATCACTAATGGATGAAAATGATTTCAAAAGATGGAAGTTAGGGGTTGAGGCAGTGGAGTATGGCATTCCAAGTGATGGGGGAAATGATATGGAAATTGTAAGGTATATTTGGGCTGTGAATAATAGATTTGTATGGATGCTGGATTTGAGAAACCAGGAAGTGAGAGGACACTGGTCACTTTCACTAAAGCTCATAATATATATATTTTTTCAGCCCCATTGACTAGGGCAGGCAGCCCCTGGGCTTCATGCATCCTGCCTGGGAAATGAGTAGGTTGGACTGGATGATCCTTAAGGCCCCTTCAGTATAATATTCTTTCACTCCAAGAGAAAAGCAAAGGTTCCTCCAGACACCTTCCATCCTCCAATGCTTGGTCCAGTGTGGTAGTTTTAAAGACTCTTTAGATGTTCTACCATTACAGTAAGTAAAGAGAGAGACTGATTTCACCAAGTCTTTCAGATTCAAATTGGTACTCTGTGCATTATGGTAATTTAGGATGATATCTGGCCCCAAAGCTGCAATGTACACAATGTTTGTAAAGCCTGCACCCAGAGGTCAGCATTCCCGTCAGGCTGTCAGGTGTGGCTCTGTCACCTCACGCACTGTGATGACTCACCTTGAGATGTTTACTCCCAGGGCGAGGACAGCTGTGGGGATTAGAATCCCTGGCAGTCTTTCTCCATGGACCACTGCCAGGGGAGGTAAAGCAGGGAATTTTTGAACTGCAAAGATTGGTGCAGGCTCTGATCTCTGACCTGGGTGGTTCCTTTATCACATGTCACTAACTCTGCTGTTCTTGCTTCCCTGACCAGAGGGACAGAGAGTGAAGGAGAAAGGGGAGCCGGACCAGGTAGGGCCAGACAGTGGCAGTTGTACTCACAGCCAAGACCAAAGCCTAGATCTGCACACCTCTCTCCCATCCTGCCTTCAGGTGTGCATGCCCGGCCCTTTCCTGGGTGCAGCCTCTGGGTCAAGACCACAGCTGCAGCCTTGTTTAATGTAGTCTTCTCCTGCCCAGCCCCTCCTGTTGTGTCAACTAAGTAATTAAAGTTACGAATATTGTTAGGTAGTATATTTATTTTTCCCAGAACTCCTGCAAATATATGCAACACTCCTGGAAGTATGGTCTTGCCCAAAGCTGTACTGAGAAACTTAAAAGTAACAATCTCTATAACAACATATATATCCAGCAGGAAGGCATGGAGGACTGCTGTTATAACTCAGACTGCAAGTCTGCTCACCTCACCCTATGCAGAGACCAGGAGTGTCATTTTTTATCTTACTCGAGTGAGTACCATGCCTTCAATTCACTTCTCAGAACAGCATTCCAGTGCTTGTGACCTGCCATGTGCTATAGATTTTACCTTTCCAGGAATCATGGGCCATACCACCCTTCTGGGCATGTTTATACCCATAGTTCTGTGCTAATATACCCCACCCCTTCTAATTCTTCCAGGATGTGGAGGAGTCTAGTTATTTTGTTAAAGCTCAGAATCTCTGTCTTCCTTTTCCTAGCTGGCCAGAAAGTTGTTCCCTGTCCCCTGCTGGGCTCTCTTTTCTAGTCAGTCTTTCTAGGGCTTTGTTGCCCATGAAGATGTTTCATAGCATCCCTTCATCCAGGAAATGTTAGTCTAAGATTATATAATTTTAGTGAAAACACAGTGCAGATCTCAGGTTAGCTATGGAGAGAGAATGTCATGGACAAGAATGTCTGCACCGTGTTGTGACAGATCTCTGCCTAGGAGGTTCATCTCCCTCTCAGATCTGGAAGGTTCCATTCATCCTTCCCAGGGAGAACTATGAGTGGTTCAGCTGGAAAAGGTACGAGCCAACAGTTTCACTAACGTCTTAATTCCTAAGGCCACTTCTATCACAACAGTAACAAAACTGTATCAGCAACATAGAGGGGAAGTTTCTCTTTCCCATGCAAAATGGTCCCAAGTTACTGAATAAAAGCTTAAAAGATGGAAGACTTAGACAGCCCTATT